GATCGATAAAAGAATTAACGATTAATCGAGGGATTAATCGTTAATTTCCGCAGCCCTAAGATTTAGTAATCTTGTAAATTATGCTTTTTGTGTGATCTAATAATGATTTTAGTGCATTTTCATTTAAAATATTGATTTGATAAACATTTGCACATGACCTACAAAATTTAATAGCACCATCTTTATATTCTACTGGTATATATTCTATATATATTCTACTGGTCCTCTGCTTTCAGACAATGTATGGTTTGGGGGGTCTTTTACAAACTGTGAAAGCTGATGTTGAAACTTGAAAAATGTCAAAACTGGTCTGGCCAGCTGAGGTTAAAAGTGTAAACTAGCCTGGGGGAAACAACCTACAACAGTACGTTTTAACTCATGATTTAAGCCTTTGTATCCAAAAAAATAAGTTAAAACTGTTTAAAAAGTGTAAGCTGGAGTCGAGCTTTAGGTTGTTGCTTGCTTTGTTCATCAAGGAGATTTCAGTGCAGAGCGAATGGCATTGTCACCCTGTTACAGGAAGTGAAAACCCAACAGATCCACTGGCAGGATCAACAGGTTATGAAACCGTTTTAGGACCTAATCAGACAAAGTCCATGCGGTACCGCGCAACGCACCTACCGTGCGTTAACAGTGTGGGAGGTGTGTAGCATTGCCATTCATTTGAATGAGACCCAAAATGCACCTCCCACCTGCAATGTGCTCGAACACGCCGCAATGCATAGTACTGCAATACCGTGCTTTGCGTTGCGGTTGAAAAAAATTGTGCATGCACGTGTGGCACAGTTGAGCGCATGTGGGTGAGGAGGTGCGCTTCGGGTGCCATTCAAATGAATGGCAATGCACCTCCCACATAGTAACACAAAGTAGGTGCGTTGCGCGGTAGAGTGCGGTAATCACAGAGAACCATGTGAATAATGCATGTAGTGTGAACAAGCCCTCAGAGGACACCCAGATGAACACAAAGCTGTTCTCCTTTAACCTCATGTGCGGATTATGCTTTTGAACATTGTTGTTGCCAGGATTTATTCAGCTTGCAATTCTTTGCATTTTATAAACCCACAGCTATGCAGTAGGGAATATGGCAGTTGTATTCGGTCGAATGTTGTCACCTGGAGCACCTGGTACTGCCGTTACTTGAAAGCAAGTGTAGACATTCCACCATATCAAACCAGTTCTATGCAGTATTACTAGTGGAATACGGAAAGTTGGTAGACCTTAAGGGCCTGTTCACACCAAGCCCTTACATTCACTACTTTTTTTCAACCACACCGCAATGCAGGGCATTGAGGTACCAAGCGTTGCAGCATGGTGGAGCACATTGCAGCCAAGAGGTGTGTTCAGGGTGCCGTTCAAATGAATGGCAACACACCTGCCGCACTGTAACGCATGGTGGGTGCATTTCACTGTACTGTGCGACTGTACATGGAACTGTGCGATTAACACAGCCTTGGTGTGATTGGGCCCTGAAAGACGACCATTTTTTCTGTGTATGAAATGTTGGCTTTAGTCTCTTGAGCAAATTATAACTGAATGTGTATTCAGCTGTTGTTCCAGGCATGTTGGCACAGAAAATCAGGAAAAGCTGATTCCTCGGGAATCAGTATTATTTCACATATTATCTATTTAATACAATTCCCCTTCTATACTGCTTTTATAAATACACGTACATTTAGGTCAATATTCTTTCCTCATCGAAAGTAAGTTTAAAGCCAAGCAAATGAGAGGCTGAAGAACAAAGGGAGCTCCCGCGATTGTAATGACACCAACTTAAAACCCTGTGATTTGTACATAATTGTATAGGTCATATGGCATATTATTGTACAGATGAACACACACTTAATATAAATGAAAAATATTTTTTTGTTTCCATGGTAGCTGTTAAGAGAGACAAAACGTTTCAGCTAAGATTTATCTTTTGTCAATTTCACCCCTGATTACAGTCTTTACTCCAAAATTCTTATTTCTTGGTGTTTCTGTAATGATATATTACAGTACAGTATAGTTTGCTGAGTAATTGGAGTCAACTGTAGTGATAACAAGGTAATAATGGCATATAATTTTTTTTTTTAAAAACCTTCATTTTGTTGGACCTTTCTCAGAACATTTTAGGTAATGAACATGGATAGCACTGGCTGATGACTATGTATTGCAATGGAACGTTTATTTAAATCTTGTAATACCTACAGAGGGACACAATTCCCTGACAAAAACAACCATGACTTGCAACATGTGTGGGCTGTGCCAGATAACGCATTCATTTAATTGTAGATTACAAAGCAGCTTCATTGTTTGTGAAGGAAACTAATTATGTTTTAATGTCACAACCACCGATGATTCTTTTTCTCCCTATTGAGACTTGATTATTGCATGGTGTCAGTCTTTCCAACACCTTCATTTTATTTTTTAGACAGCTATCAGTTGTGTGCCTTTTGATTAGATTGTGCATTGCAGTTTTATTTTGCTTAAAGAGCACTCATAAAATGATTGGAATATTATTGTATGATTACAGACCACAGGCTGCTCCCAAAATTCAAACATTTTGAAATATTACATGCGTGGCTCAGTGCACACAGAAGCCAATATGCAGGGAGGCAGCATTTATGACAAGACACCTACAGAGTATCATCTGTCCCTTTTTTAATAGCTTTACTTCCATGTTAACTTGATTATGACTAATTTGTTTTTAAATATTTTAAGGGCATATAAGGCTTTAATAAACCCCTGTTTTTATAAAAACCCTGTGCTTTCTATTTGAATTGCAGGCTGACAAATGCACTTAAATGATGACAAAAAAATGTATACTGTATGTGACCGTTACATAATTAAACAGAGGCACAATGCCATCTTTAGGCTGCAGTGTCATAGCTGATCATGTGATCACATGATTGGGAACAACTCCGGTTGTTCCTGATCTTTATTGTGAATTAGAGCTGTCAGAGACTAGTCTGACAGGTAGAAGCCATGCACAGTGTTAGCTGCTACTATCAAATGGAAGATGTAGAGTAATGTACCCTTAATAAAGAGCATCTTACAGGGGAATGTTAAAGGAGAACTATGAGATGAGTGATTTCCACTCACCTCATAGTTCTAGCCGACCTGTGACAATGAGACTGTCACAGGTCGGCTCAGTAGATCGGGAGGTGAGCGAACACATACCCGGTTCGCTCACCTCTCGATCCTGTCGCGGCTCTCTGCCGTGACAGGGGGAGGGGCTGGATTCCCCTCTTCCCCGCTCCGATCTGCCAGCGCTGACTGGCGGAACGAACGGGGGAGGGGGCGGGTACAGACGGCTCTGCCTCTAGGAAGGCAGAGCCAGCTGTCACTCACACAGCTGGGCGGATCCAGACATAATTGTCGGGATCCGCTTCAGCTGCGGCGTCTCAGTATACCGCGAGCTGTAGCTCGCGGTATACTGAGCTTAGGGTAACGGGAGGACGCTAGTTTGTGTCCTGCCGTTACCCTAAGGAGAACTATGGGGAAAAACACTGACCCCATAGTTCTCCTTTAATCTACAGATTGTGTTTGGGAAGGGGTTAAAAAAAAATCTATGGTGAGAGAAACATGAATGCTGCCAGTGCAACCATTCTCTCTTACAATGTTTTTGCTTGGATGTCATTTTGAATCTTGCTCCAATACGCAAGACACTAACCTATAGCAAGCATGTACGTAGGGACATATGACGTATCTCTGACTTTCTCTTCCTGCATTTTTTTTTGTAAATTCATTATTTAGAAGACAAAGTTATATACAGAAAACCAAAAAGTGGTGTCCATAGAAAGTTTGGCATACAAAGAGCCGTCATCAGGAACAGACTCAAATAAACAAACAGCATCAACTAGCCATTCTTCCTGCATTTTTGATCGTTGATAATGCCTTAAAATATATTGAAGCCAGAAGTACAGCATGAGAGTCACGAAATTAGCATTTTTTTGAAGGAGATCAGGAATGATATAATTTAATTGATTAGATTCTGCCGCATTTTAATTGCAAAAGTTTTGGGGAAAAATACAGTATTGGATTGTAAGCTCCTTGGGGGCAGGATTTGATGCGAATGTACAGTATGTAAAGTGCTGCATTAATTGTCAATGCTGTATAAATACCCATTTAAAATAATATAAGGCATATACAGCAGAATATTCTGTAGAATGAGCTGCAAGACTAAAGAATAAGCTACCTACCCTATTACACTACTTCCATTGTATCTGCATAGGTAAAATATAGTCTCTTTCCCAGTCTTATAACATTTTAACTAAGGGCGGATTACTATATCTCCCTTTTACATCCTGGAACTCTGGCACATGTGACTAGGAAATGTGACCATGCACATCATCTCAAGGGAGGAAATGCCTTTCCCTGAGATCTCATGAGATTACAGATGAGTTTTCCCTGCAATGCTCTGCTAAAGTAACCTTCCCAGTATGCAATGTTGGGGCACATTACATAATTTGTTCTAAAGTGGACCAGGAAGTAGAAAAGAAACAATTGTAAGTAAAATAAAAATATGTTTGTTTAACTAATGAATGTAAGATGATTTCATATCCGCACGAGGAGCTGTATGCTGATGTGATTTTTAGCCAGAGGGGGTGGAAGCCACTTTAAATGAAACGTTGTTTCGAAAGTTTAAAGATTAAATAAGGTCACTGTGATGGTGAAGTTGAAAACTAAAACCCCTTTTCGAAGAGAAGTGATTGACGGAACGGTAATTGTAGATGATATCTTCTTATGATATATTTACCAATGATGCTTTGGTCGTTGCCTTAAGTAAATACCATTTCTATGTGTAAAAAAAAATTACCTTCATGCTTTTAGAAATTTGCTGGATTCTGGGTCTTTGGACAGCAAATTCAATTAGTTTATTTTAGTGTTACCTCACTCATCTCTCACTTGAAGAAGAATCAATTGCATGTAGTAGGCCCATTATTTGTATGGGTCTGGACTAACTTTCAGACATTTCATAGTTTTGGTGCATTTTAAGTTTATTTTATCTTATTTTTCAGCGGAACTTGGTGAGTGTGAACTTTCCGAATATACACCAGAACTTGTGTCTGAATTTCGATTTATTCCAAATCAAACTGAATCTCTGGAGCTTGATATTTTCCAGAAGTGGAGAGAATGTAGGTACGTGGGTTTAATTTCTGAAGATGGACTAAATGTTCATGTAGAAGGTAATTTTGGTGGCATAATAGATGGGTTTACCCTAAATTGAACCATGATAATACTGTCGAGATCCACCCAGCCGGCTGATCGACAGCTGGTTCTGCTTATCTGGAGGCAGAGCCAGTTGTGCCAGCCCCCTCCCACGTCCGTTCCACCACTCAGCGCTGGGGGATCGGAGAGGGAAGGGGGGAATCCCTGCGCGGAGCGGTGACTGACAGTCACCGCTCTCTGCAGGGAGATGAGTGGGAAGGGAGCGAGCGACGGTATGTGTCCGCTCACTTCCCAATCTATAAAGTCGACGTGACAGTTTCAATGTCACATGTCGGCTCTTACTATGAGGATGAGTGGAAATCACTCGCCTCCATAGTTCTCCTTTAAATTAGGGATTATGTTTGTGATTTAGTTTAAGTGCTGCAGAGTATAATACATTAGTTTCTCTTGCATTTTCTGGATGGACACAGCGGAAATCTTGAATTTCTTACCAATGCAGGAATAGTGCCACCTGCAGGAGTAGGACACTGGGGGCATAAAACAAAGCACAGCCAACAGGTGGCCTCTGAGGGTGGCCAAACCCCCCATCTGCTAGAGACGGCTCAGTTTTTCACCTAGTGTCAAGGAGTAAGGACCTATGCTCCCTGCTGGGAATAATAGTTCCCTTTTTTCTTTTGCAGGGAACTCCTTTCTTTTTTTCTTTATTTCAGTACCTTCAGTCAATGACTGAGCTGGGTGACAGGCTGAATTATATAGACCATTGTAGTCTCCTCATCTCAGCATTTGAGTGCATGCAGATACCTAGCTAAGTGTAGGGCCTGCTGCGAAAGCACAATTCTAGATATAAGGGCAACCTGTGAGATATCACGGGGGATATGCATGACTGAGTGACTTGTTGCTGTGTCGCAGTGCCCCCTAGACAGACCGTGCCCACATTCCGGCAGGAGGTCTCAGGGATGATGGTACACCCTCTTTCATCGTATAAAGGTGAGGTAAGTACAACAGAACACCCACCTTTCCTCCTAGGTGGCCTAAACTGGTCTTGGGTACCCTTTTGTCACCTAGCCCCTGTACTGTCCATTCAGTTCTTGGTGCAATACACTGCTTGTTTCTGCAGGGCATGTCAGCCCTAGGCGGCTGGTGGTTTTCCCATTCATTTATACAGTCAGTGTTCTCAGACTTACTCTGTATGCTTGCTTGCGCCATGTGCAGCCTGGCTCTAGGGGACATGTTGGGGTGGCAGTAATGCTGTAAATGGGCATGGCAGTGGCCATATTGTGTATGAGCTGGTGCTTGTTGGTGGGCAGTGGCTGATGACATCACACCTGGCGTCCTTCTGATGTTGTGGGGGTTGCGGACGGCTTCTTCATGTGGGTGTAAGGCCATAGTGCTCCTTCTCTGCCCCGTCTTCTGCTAACTCTGGATGGTCAAGGTTCTCCTCCCAGGTTTCCCAGCTGCTGCAGCATGTATATGTATGGAGCGATCGCAGGTGCACCAAGATGTACTCAGGAATGAGGTCAGGTCATTTCTGAGCCTGATGAAGGGGACTCTGCGCAGCCCCGAAAGCACTTGTGTCCATTTATTGATATACATTTGTCACTCAAAAACACGTTTTTTTTTTGGCTTTGACACATTATCCTGGTGTACTGGTGATGTCTTTATCAAGTTAACTGTCCGCGTTGCCATCCGAGGGTCACTGCAAGCACCCACTTTAATTGAATGTGAGATCCAGTAAAGAGTGCAGCAAGTTATTTTCCTATTGTAGGACGTACTCAATGACCCCAGTTCTCAGTCACACTTGAAATTGAGACACTATGTGATCCATCAAGGTTTTGGAAGCATGCAGCACATATGCTGGATCTATGGTCCGGTGATTCTCTTTGACCCTACCTGATATCCACTATGCTTCACTGTTCGGAGAGACTGTTCCAGCTTTGTTGCTGCGATGCTTACCACCTTTTAGAATGGTCAAGTAGCCTTTTGGCTTCTACTATTGCTACTATCTGACTAGAATCCCTTGGAGCTGCTAGGTCTCCATATCCCCTTGATGCACATGCTGTTCCCAGATTTCTTTGGAGGCTGGTAGAACTCTGATACTCTTTTTACGCTATTTTTACTTTTAAGGTCCATTTCTCATTGGGGAGTCCTTTATCAGAAATGAGCTGTTACTACTGTCGATTTGATGGTGTTCCGTCTTACTACAGCACTGACACTTCTTAAAGGACATGTTTGTTAATGTTCCTGTAGTTTGTCTGCTGGGAGATGCATTCCCAACCATGTTTATTCTGGCAGAGACTGGGTTTGCAGCATAACATGACTGTGATGCTAGTTTGCAGGGGCTGCCGTGGTCACTCTCATAGGGGATGTCACTGGAAGTAAGAGTACTTGTACTCCCTATTGAGTGAAGCCTCTCTTTGGCTGCAACAAGTTGTTTCTATGTACTGCGTTGTAACTAACTGAGCTGCCTCTAGCAGATAGGGGGTCTTGCCACAGTCGGTGGCTGCCCCCAGGCTGTGCTTTTGGGGGTTTTTTCCCCTAGTGTCCTACTCCTGTAGGTGGTGCTATAAACCCATTGGTAAGAAATTCAAGATTTCTCCTGTGTCCTTCAATGAATAGAAAGAAAAATATTTTTTTCGGAAAGTACAAAATTCCTATTTTTCCAGGTATGTGGGAAGTATAAAACCTGTCATGAAACCTGTTCTTTTAGAGTTAATTTTTTGATGTACTGCATGCAACACAGTAAGGATCTTGGTTGTAAAATTGCAGAAAAGAGAAATTAATAGCCTCCACAGTAACCAGAGATAATATAGCAGATGGGGGGTTTTTTTGAGCAAGGAGCTAAAATTAATCTTGTGTTGAAATGTGGTAGCTATGGACAACACCTCCATATGCACACCCCTGCTCGGGAACATCACAATGCCTGATAAACCCTCTTAAGAGAGTACTGGAAGCACTGGAGTGACAAAATCAAACATGTCCTGACAGCTTGTATTATCCGTTTGCTAAACCTGCTAGTGTAGTATTGTCAGTGTTCCTACCGGTTTAGTTTGCAGGAAACCTGTAGTGAGAAAAACAAGGCTTTAATTGCTGAACTCTCTCTGAAAATAAGGACAGTAAGGCCTCTGACCTAAATACACTCTGATCTATTAAAATGGAAGAAACATGCAGAGAATTAAGTCGGCACAGTCAGAATTCATGATCTGCATGCTTTTTGAGGTGTGTTCCTCAGAAAGGGAAGTGTTTGAACAGAACACTAAATATTAGACAGAGTTCACAGCTGCCTTGGTTAAAGACATTCCAATTTTCTGCAAACAAACCAATCCAAATGTTCAGCTCATACTGCAGAGAAAAGATGCAGTTGGAGAATTGTGTAAATATGTTAGTGTGATTATCCCAAGATTTGCATCTTCCATGTAAACCACTGGGATTATGTTCAACCTCAGATGTTGGACAGGCTATAAATTGCACTTTGGTCTACAATGATGGTCTTTACTTTCAAAGGTCTTTACTTTCTAATACCTCCTACGAGGAAACATATAAAATAGATATCAATATGCTGTATGTAAAGTATTTGAAACAAAAATTCTAACCAAGATCATTTTTCAATTTAATCTTAAAGCTTGTAGTTAAAAACACATAAAATACACATTCTGCAACGCTCTGCGTCCATTACTGGCAGCTGCTCACTCTAATATTTGGCAACTGTACCTTCTGGTAAAACATGGTACACTGTTCCATGTATACAATTTAAATGAACTATAATTGTAATCGGTTTTATTTTTAGAATGGGAAATATTTACATGTTTACCTATACACATTTGATGATCTGTAAACCCCAGAGCCACATAGAGGTTTGATCCAAATTTGGCGTTATCTATATTGCTTTGACTAAACTAGAAACATTTGTAGAATTCAACGGACCTCATCCAATACACAAAATAGACACAAAAACTCGGGAAAAATAAACAAAATAGTACAATGAGATACTCTGACTTCAAAGAATCATGTAATGCAAGGAACAGTGTACGATGTCTTCGATAGTACAGTTGCCAAAAAATTCATTTAGCAACAGTTTAACTTAATAGTGATGGATGCACAGTGTGTTTCATGTGTTCTCAATTATAAGCTTCATGATTAATAGATATAAAGTGATCTTGGTTATAATTGTTTAGCGATTTTACATATGTTGATACCTATTATACATTTTCCCTCGTGGAGGAAGTATTACAACGTTAAGACCTTTTGAATGGTGTGTTATTATATTTGTATGATATACCGATTTATGATGAAAATATGTATGTAGGTATTTATATTTTTCCAACCAGCCTTGGTCTCTTCTTGAGTGTTGGTTCTCAATCTGTGCCATAACTGGTGTGCAGGAGTTTTTAAAGATATACTTGCAAACTTCAATCTCAGTGTCCCATTCCTAGAGACCCTGTCACCAGACCATTCATTTTAGCAAAACTCTTGTAATAAGATATGTATTTTGTGCATGTTGTTTTTATCGTAAATTCCTGTATAGAATTACAAAAACCCTGAGACTGCTGCTGGGTGCCGCCATATTGGATGTGAGGTCAGCAGTACCAGCAGATTTAGAGCTGTCACTCAAATGACACTTTATAATATTCTCCTTTTGCTTTTCTTCCAGAAGCTACATAAAGGGTATATAGGAAAGTGAAGGGCCTGGACCAGCACAGAAAGTACTTAAACACTCTCAGAAGAGGAGAGGGTTAGGGTGTGCAAGTAGGGAGGGGGCTGTGATAGGAAAAGCACTTGTAAATGTTTCTAGCAAGCTCAAATACACATTGCAAGTGAATAAAAAAATAATTTATGGCAAGAAAAGATACTGTAAGCAAGCATTTCAAATATTTTATTTGTCTTTGCTTTTTACCTGCAATTTTTCTTCATTGGTGACGAGGTCTCTTTAAAGGCATAGCAGCCATATTGTACAAAGGACACTGATCCAATAAAGGGCTGGCTGCATGAAAGACGAAAAAGTTTTAGAAGTAGGAAATAACTCATGAAAGAGTTTAAAATGTGTTTTCTTCCTTTTTTTGTTTTTAACTATTTACTTAATCTGTTTTTTTCCCCCCTCATTCTAAGGGGTAAAACACCAGCCCAGGCCGAGCTATGTTACTTGAATAAAGCGAAGTGGTTAGAGATGTATGGGGTTGATATGCACATTGTTAAGGTAAATATTTTCTTCTTTTGCTTTCATAGCACAATTTGTATACAATTATTTTTAATTTAATGAACATGGTGTGCACTTGGTGCATTGCTATTCTCGAAAAATAAAAAGTGTTTTCATTATTTTAATAAGATAGGTATTATGTAATTTTACTAACTTTTACAAATCAAATCAGTAAGGGCTAAACTACATGGGTAATTTTTATATCTTGCTAATGAGCAATTTAACCATTTTGTTAAAGAGGAACTTTACCCATATCTTCAACATAACAAAGGCACCTTTAGAAATGTATAGTAATGACAATTTACAAACACATACTTATAGATAATTCCAGGCTTTTTATTTTAACAAAGGGCTAGTCACTATTAGTGATGGGCTCGGGCGTGTTCGCAACTCCGCGTGCCAAGCCCGCCAGGAAGCTGGCAGCGCTAATCACAGTCACGGAGACATTTCCCGATCTCTGCAGCTCCGGACCGGGATAATGTCTCAGTACCTGTGATTGGCGCTGCGCTGCTGTCAGCTTCCTGGCGGGCTCGGCACGTGGAGCTGTGAACACGCCCGAGCCCTTCACTAGTCACTATATCCCCCTACCTATACTTCCTGGAACTCTGGCACATGTGACCATACACATCATCTCAGGGGAGGAAAATGCTTTTCCCTGAGATCTTGTGAGATTGCAGATGAGATTTCCCAACAATGCTCTGCTGATGTAACCTTTCCAGGATGCAACACTTAGGCACGATTACATAATTTGTGCCAGAGTGGACCAGGAAATGGGGGGGAAAGAAATTGTAACTAAAATAAAAATATATTTGTTTAGCTATTAACTGAATGTAAGATTTCATATGAGTATGCAGAGTTGCATGCTGATGATATTTTTAGTCAAAGGGGGTAAAAGTCCACTTTAATAACTAGCTAAATGGTAGAAATGAGTGTATTGCCCACAAGAGACTAAATTGATCAGTAATTAAGGTTAAAACTATAATAGTTCAAAGAGAACTATGGCCCAACCTTTCTTTTTTTCTTTCTGGTCATCGTTCTCTTTAGGGTCACAGGAGGACATATGCTAATGTCCTCGCATGACCCAAAACTCGCTATATGCTGACAGCGCAGAGCTACGCTGCAGCCGGGATAGATCCCGACAATATTGTTGGGATCCACCCCGCTGCCTGATTGACAACTGGCTCTGCCTCTCTAGAGGCAGAGCCAGCTGTGCCCACCCTCCTCCCCCATCCATCAGTCAGTGCTGGAGGATCGGAGAGGGGAAGGGGGAATACCTGTGGGGAGCGGTGACTGAGGAAGATGATCAGGAACTGAGTGATTGGCGGAATATTGTAGTTCTACAATACAACAGAGTTTATGCTGCCAGACCCTCTATGTAATATAAACTATCCTGAACCAGGCAATGCAGCTCTTGTGTCTTTCTGCTCTTCTATGAAGAGAAGGAGTCGTAGTACCCTGCAATGATATATATGCAAATTTTAGTCAACCCAACAAAGCCTTAGCACTAGGGCCCATGATTCTGTAAAAAAAAAAAAAACACCATACTGATATCAGTTATTTTCAATGACATCCTGTATAATTCAAAAATATTAATACTTAATATCAATATATCATGAATGTATTCTTAATATACAAGCTTCGTAAGTAACTGAATTTGACATGGTATCACCTGCTTGCAATCCCCTCTACAGTATAGTTCATTCTGAGAGAAATGCAACACTAGGAGCCAATTAGTTGTTCTACTATGCTAAAAAGGGACATGCTGATAAGAGGTGCGAGTCCCATGACAGAGATGAGCTTATAAGTCTGCTACTTCTCCTTTCACTGTCCATTCACAGGCTGGGGGAGGGACAAGACCTGTAAGTGTCACTTCAGCAGGTAAAAATACATTCTCCTGCCAGACAGGGCTGTGTAAATCTCAGGACTGGATGGCCAGAATTAAATATCCTTTGGCAGGAAAAACAGCTTTCATATAGGTGTTCTGTGTGTTTTTAGCTGTTTAAATTGAGTTCAGCTTTGTCACTGGGACAGTGTAAATTTGGGGCCTAATGGTGTCATATTTGGTGTCATTAGTATGAGAAAATCTAGACAGTATTTGAAATGTAGACGTCAATTTTTGCATGACCACCCTCCAAAGGTTCATTACTGAGTTTATTGTAAAAAGTTGATGAAGGAGCAGGAAGTCACTGGTCACTTTACTGATGATCTGTGAAGAGTTAGATTGGTACCTGTTTTGATTTTATACAGGTCCTAAAAGATTCACTTTAATGCTGGAACGTTGTCTTGGATACATCAGGTAGGTGTATGAAACAAAACACAGGCCTATTGGTAGGCATGCAGTTTTTAGTGCACGGTACTGCAGAAACATTTGCTGTCAAGATGACCAGCCATGAATAAGCTAGAGCAGGGCTAGGTAACATTGGCACTCCAGCTGTGGCGGAACTATAAATCCTATCATGCCTCTACATTTAGGAGTCGTAGCCTTGTAAAGCCTCATGGGGCTTGTAGTTCTACAAAAGCTAAGCCAAGTTAACTACCGCTGCACAAGAGTGTTTAACCAGAAGGAGGAGTCTAAAATGTCACTTTTTTCAGAAAAAGGGGAGGGTGGTAAATTTTTCAAATGTGCAATAGTATTTTAATCTATTTTAAGTCTAGTTTTGTGTATGTTTGTGATCTTGCATCTGTTACCCTGGACAGCGGACTGACATTTGTGCATGTTTTCACTGGCTTCCTAATTGACTATTTATTTTTGTTTTATTGTGTTGCTGTTTAGGGTAAAGATGGCTGTGACTATGCACTTGGACTGACCCCAACAGGCATCTTAATATTTGAGGGCTCAAACAAAATTGGTTTATTCTTCTGGTAATGACATCCTTTTTATGCCACTTCTTGTTGCTTCTGTTTTTTCTTTAGCTTGACTCTGCAGTAAATATTCCTTTACAAATGCAGAGTGTAATAATGACTAGCACTTTGAAAGCTTTGAAATAAAATCAAGTCACAGAATGTTTTCTCCATAGGAAATACCCTTGGAGATGTCGCTTAAAGGAGCTCTAAAAAAATCATAAGGATACTTCTGGGGAAATGCATAAGCTTCCCAAATAGTTTAGAAGACTGCATTTGTATTACATTTGGTGCACTGCAACTAAACTATAACGCAATAGGAATGCTGTAGTGCTCACTGTATGTAATTTATAAAAGACTGAAGAGAAGACATTTATGATATACACTTTAAAATAAAAGGGGTATATAAAGTAGCGCAAATGAAAATTGGTGAGGGTAAACTTACACCATGATTATTAATGAAGACAATTGCCTCGGGCCAAGTTACCTCTATCATAAGATGGTATGAAATGTTCATACATCCCAGTGACACATCACAATGATATATGCTTTATATTTATATGCTTTATATTAGAATTATCAAATATGGACACTGCAAAACAGTAGCATTATGATAGAAAGTGTAAGATCATGGAAAAACATTATTACTGCATAACAGTACTAACTGTATTTGAGGATGCCTGACTTTGTAAAGTAACAAAGCTCTACAGAAACAGTACATGTAAAATAATTGTGCCATAAAATTCATTACCAATTAAAGTTGCACACCTGAATCAAAGCATCTGTGAACGAGGAGCAGCAAAGTGTTTTACCTAAATTGGAGCCTGTAATGATCAACGCTAAAGCAGAAGTACCTATACAGGCTAGGAGATGGAGGCCTTGCATTTGACTTGATGTAGTTAAACCAGACATGATTGTTATATTCTGATTTCACAACCTACTTTTCAGTTTGCTTGTAACTATGCAATGTGGAGGGCTCCTTTTGATATGTATCCAGTCAGGCAGTCCCCTGCACTACATAGTTAATGGTAAATCTAAAAAAGATTATACACTCTGATTATGACATGTTGCCAGGCTTAAGCTCTCTATCATGCACCGAGTGAATCTGCATAATTTGGCACAGGTAGCATCCAGTATGAACTCCCCTACTGAAAACGCCAAATGTCAGGATCAAGCTAAAAATATAAGACCGCAGTAACCATTCTACCATGACATGTGCATGCATGTACATCGCGAGATGTTTCATCACATTGCAAAACTTTATCAGGATATTTTGTTTTGACTGGAAATCACATGTAATATGTACCTTGTACGTTCAATCTCTTTCTATCAATCATTTGCTCAGGAACAGTGTGTTGTAAGTGATTAGCTGTTGGCTAGCATTGTCATATTTTTTATTGTTTCATTCATGGCAAGACAGGAGTTGTTATATTTAGGGAGGTCCCCATACCACTTTTTCAAGACCAAGTACAAGTACTTTCTCTCAGGTACTTGCCGATACCAATTACCATAACTTTTTCTTAAAGGGAAATACAGACTAATGATTTTAGGGCAGTTTCCAGGTTGATTCCAGATCTCACCAAGCTACTTCCAGCTCTCACCATGGGTGCGTACAGATGTCACCAGGGCTGCCTATTGGGTCTCTCCAGGGACGCGTACAGATGTCACTGGGGCTACCTATGGGTCTCTCCACGGCTCTGGGGACAGGTGATGGGCTGAACGGGTGCGTAGTGAGCCAAATGGAGCAGGTGCCTGTCTTGTGCCTACTTTGAGGCTGTATTCACGGTGCGGGGCTACCTCAAACTGTGCCTGCACCGGGAAAGAGGAGGAGATGTGGGACCAGGCAGGCAGTGTCAAAGACAGCTACTGTAAGGTTCATGGAAGGCTGCGTCAGGCCCCCACAAGCGGGGGACCTCGGCAGCCGATCCGATTAAAAAATTTAAAGGGCCGTTGTCGGCCTTTTAGTATCGGGGCAGTTTCACGCGTCCATGTACGCGTGAAAATGCCCTGTATCGGCCCCGATACTAGTATTTAGGACATCCCTAGTTTTATTTTAGAACATTCAGTTTGAACATACATCGTGGTTCTTAATATGACAATAGTCACTAAACCAATGTGCAAAAATCCACAAAATACTTTTGGCCTATAAATTGCCACTGACCAGGCTCGCCATTCACATAGGGCAACACAAAATGCTTTAGATAACAGAATTTTATTGAACTTTAAATTTAAGATCAGTACAGAGTAATAAAACATCCTTAGCTCTAATAGGTTTCTGGTATTTTAGGCCAGACGTAATCTTTGTGCTTCTTTTTTTTTTATGTTTTCCGATAAAAATTGATATAACATATATAGTTACTACAAGTCATTGTAATGTGCAGGGCAGCTGTGAGATTCTATATTCACCATGAAAAATATAAAATACGCTTCCTGAAAGGCAAGGGAGCTTTGTAGACAGTAGTTCCTGGTAAGTCTATTACTATCTCTTCTTACTAGTATTTAAGGACAATGGCTTTTTTAGACGTCTTCTCAAACCTTAACTAACAGTGCCTGTATTCTTGTTACTAGGCCTAAAATTACCAAAATGGATTTTAAGAAAAGCAAATTAACCCTTGTTGTTTTAGAAGATGATGAGCAGGTAAGATTTACTGACTGTTATTTAGCAAGTTATAAGCAAGCTGATGTCACATGCCTTATGTCACCCAACTTTTCCTTCTCTCACTGTAGAATAGGGAACAGGAACATACGTTTGTTTTTCGCTTGGATAACTCTAAAGCATGTAAACATTTGTGGAAATGTGCAGTGGAGCATCACGCTTTTTTCAGGCTAAGAACCCCAGCAAATACAAAATCTACTCGATCTGACTTTATTAGATTGGGATCAAGGTTCAGATTCAGGTAAACTCTTACTTTGATAGTTGCCAAATTAAAACCTTAATGATGCGGCTATTTGGGTTAAGCAAGGAAATTATGACAAGCTTTGTGTATATTTTGTGTCATCTGCTCTTGCAAACCCTTATAGCCAACTAAGATTTGTGACAGATTTACCATTGACTGTACTTTCATGAGTTTTCTACTTAAACTATGCATAGACATAGGAAGGACCTTTTATATTATGTATCAGTTATAATTCTAATCTGCTGATGGAAGACTTAATGACTCAAGCTGCGGGCAAATCTATCTCTTTATGTCTCTCACTGTTGAAGTTTTTCACTGCCTTGCTATGCATCAAAGTTTATAAATCATCATCTACTGAAACCTTTATATAGAGGGACAACAAACAACTGTAAAAATGGCTTTGTTTATATTTTTCCTATCTGCACTGTTCAAAAATACATTTAGAAACCATGTTGCTTAGTGTCCCTGGATGTTTTAAAGGGCTTATATGTTTTAAAAATAAAGAGCATTAAATAAAACATTATACATAAACTATAAGAAAAGACAGCTGTATTTTCTAACATAGAATATAAAATGCTCCAAAAATGGCTAATATTGCTGCAATAGAAACATAGATCCAACGTAAGTCTAAATAAAATATTAATCCTGCAGCACGGTTTGTAAATGATCTCAAACTCTTTTTGTGGTCTTAGGCTGGCCAGCACGCAGCAGGGAAGGACAGCTGCTCTCACCGTGAGAGCGGTTGTCTCTCTGCAGCGGCTCGAAAGGCCAACCACCCCCTCCAGTTAGGAGATGAGCGTAAACCATACAGGCCATAACAAGTAAGAGTTTGCAGGATTAATATTTTTAGCAGCTTAATTTAACTTTTTTTTTTGTAGAAGATGCAATTGGCTTAATTTTCTATCCATCTCTGGATGGGGTTGACCTAAACTAGAGGTGTTTATGCTGGCTATGCATCTCCCCATCCTCCTTCCAAATTCAGTTTAATAATACACACATCGCAAAGATGGCATTTCATACTTAGGTACTTTTATCATGTAAATTGGTAGCAAAATTAGACGCACCTTTATTGCGTATCAGATTTTTTTTTAATCAGCAAAGTGTATGCGACCCCTTTTGTGTATTTGTGAACCATAGGCCCGCAATCTTTGGCAACCAATTGAATTTCACCTACCATTAGGAAGTGGTCAGGGGCAGCAGGTTTTATATTGCCGTAGTGCTATTTTAGAGCAGCAAAGGGAAGAATTTATGGATCAAACAAATCTGTCCTGGTCTGTCTCACTGCTCCTGTTCAGCATTGCCTTGTTATGCAGAAGTATTGAGCTGGATTGCAGGTGTCACTGAAAGTTGGGGGTTACAGCGCAGAATGCCTCTAGAGCTGCAAAGTCACAGTGCCGTATTAAAGCTCCGCTGGGTTGAATATTTTCTGTGACTAGTTACTCTGTGGTATTTTCCTTTTTATATATATTTCAAAAGTAGTAAAATTGTTTTTTAAATGTAAAATCTAGTTTTCTCTCATATATCTGATTGGCATTCACATTCAAGGCACTTGTGTGATTTTTAGTGACTACTATTGCTTTGAAAATATTGGTAGCACATATCCAGGGGTAGCAACAGAATGCAGGGGCTAAGGCAGAAAAAATAATTGTGGGGCTAAGGTAGATATAAACTGGGAACTAAACTGCATGTGTATAAAATGTCTGCATAGGTTTAAGAAAATGAGATTATCCATAGATCTTTCCATCTATAAATGCTAACTGCCTCCCGAATAGACAGTATAATAGCCCAGCAGCAGCCCAGCACCTTTTGCAGCAGCCAGGGGTGTAACTAGGGTTGCCACCTGTCTGGGTGGACAGTCCTGTTTTGAGTCCTGTATGTGCCTCGTTTGGGTTTCCGGCCTGCTGAAACCCGGACACAAGATGTCACAACGTCAGGCAGACAGCCACAACCTTGGGGTCCTGGTGTTCCAACTTAAGTGCATGGAGGAGGCACAGGACACAGAAGAACGCAGGCACAAGGGTTCTGCTTCAGGCAGATACGTTGCTTGCTATTTCTTCTCGCTCTCTCCCCTGGCTGTCTCTCCTCGTGCTCTCTCCCCTGGCTGTCTCTTCTTGCGCTCTCTCCCCTGGCTGTCTCTCCTCGTGCTCTCTCCCCTGGCTGTCTCTCCTCGTGCTCTCTCCCCTGGCTGTCTCTCCCCTGGCTGTCTCTCCCCTGGCTGTCTCTCCCCTGGCTGTCTCTCCTCGCGCTCTCTCCTGGCTGTCTGGACTCGCATGCTCTCTCTCTCTCCTGGCTGGCTGGCTCAATTCGCTCATTCTCCAGTGGCCCCCAGATCATTTAAGTTTGAGACCCCTGCTTTAGAGGATACGTGTATGTAACAAGAGCATACCCAAAACCAGATGTTGTAGTCCTTGGTCAATACAAGCAGGTTGGAGCCTGAGTATAAACAGCTTGTGGGAGAGTGGTTTAAGTGCACTTTAAAACAAAGTGCACTTTTCTTTTGATCCCTTTTAACTGACGTAACGAATCCCATCCTCCCACTGCTCAGGTGCCTACTTGCTGAGTTCCGACAGGCCTGGCCTCCGTTTGTCTACATCCTGAGACGAACGCCTCCCTCTCCTGGCCGCACCTGCACAGTATATTCCCATTGACCTCTTTAGGGGCACCTCCCAGCCGGGAGCCCTGTGCAAGTCAATGAGGAAGTAATGTACAGGCGCAGCCAGGAGAGGGGAGATTTGCACCGCAAGTTGTAAATAAACAGGCTGGGCCTGTTGGAACTTGGTAAGAATGCATCTGTGCAGGGGGAGGGTGGGATTTGTTAGAAAAGCTTAGAGGATCCAAAAGGATAAGGGCACTTTAAAACAAAGTGCACTTATCCTTTTTGAGTGTGGAAAGAGAACCTCAACTGGCGACCTTTTTCAGAGCATTTTACAGTTGTTTACACCTAATACATTTGCCATAATGACTTCTTCTATTTTTAGTGGGCGAACAGAATACCAGGCAACCCATGCTGGAAGGTTAAGAAGAGCTAGTGCATTTGAGAGACGACCTAGTAAACGATATCCATCAAGAAGACATTCCACTTTTAAAGGTTATCTTATGCTCCTAAACTGTCATCCTCACTCTGTTATGCTTTCTCTTTTTCCTGCCCACGTTCTTTATCTCTCACCAGCTTGTGCTCTTTCTCTTTTGCTTGCATTTGTCCTCTTTCCCACTTATGCTCTCTTGCTTGCACACTCTTTTCCTCTTGAGTGCTCTCGTTTATACTCTATTTCCCACTCACGTTAATGCTTTCTTGCTCATCATTTCTTTTCTCCTATCATACACCCTCTCTTTCCTGCTTGATCTTCCTCTGTCTTTCCTGCTCACTCTCTCTTGTTCTCTTTCCTGCTTTCACTTTCCTGCTCATGCTCTTTACTGCACACACCTTCTCTTTCCCGCTCGTGCTCTCTCTTTTTCCTGCTCGTGTTCTTTCTTTTCCCAATCATGTGCGCTTCTCTGTTTCCCACTTGTGTGTGCTCTCTTTCCCGCTTTTGCATGCGTTCTCTTTTCCACTCATGCTCTCTCGGTTGTGCACACATTCTCTCGGTTGTGCACACATTCTTTTCCTCTTTTGCACACAATATTTGTCCCACTTGTGAATGCGCTCTCTTTCCTTCTCGTGCATGCGCTCTTTCCTGCTCGTGTTTTCTTATTTTTTTTCACTCGCATGCTTTTCCTTTCCCACCCTTCTCCCCCTCTTCTGTGCACACTCAATCCCACTCTTTCCTGTTAATGCCCACTCTGTTCCTCCTGCTTTTTGTCTCTCCCACTTGCTCCCGCTCCCACTCTGTCTCTCCGGCTCAATTTCACTCCCACTCTGTCTCTGCTGCTCATTCCCTCTCTTTCCTGTTTGGGCTCTTTCTTGCTCACTCCCACCCTTTCCCGCTCACACGCTACACTCTCGTCCTCTCTCTTTCTAGCTTGTAATCTCTCTTCTCTTCTGCCCATACTCTCTTTCCTCCTCTCACTTTCCTATTTGCACTCTTTTCTGCTCCTTTTTCTTTCTCACTTGTTATTTCTCTTTCCTGCATACCCTCTCTCTTTCTCCTGTCCTCTGTGTATATATGTAGTATTTGCTTCTGAAACACAAAGACCCGCTTCTTACTCCCCCCAACCCATAGTTTTTTAACATTTTTTAAGAATTCATACACTTGGCTTCCTCAGTTAAAAGTAACGTAATTTTTTTTCCCCCCAGCTTCTACTCCAATGAAGCCACCCCCTTTGTGGTATGTATTTTATTTTCGGATCAACATATATTTTCGTATCAACATAAGGTTTTATTTACACCTACATAGGTCCAGGGAAAGTGATCTATGCCATACTGCATATAGTTATATCGCATATGATATACACTTATACATGTGGAGTGCTAGTGGACTGCTGCTTTCAAATGCGGCCACTGTAACGTAATCATTAACTTGTACAGGTGACAGCTGGCGCTTCTAAACAGCATATTTGGGATTCCTGCAACAGGAATTGGTAGGTTCCTGTGCAGAAATCTCAAAACGTAACTACTATGTAGATGTGAATGAAGCCTTAAAGAGAAATTTACTCACCACTTTAGGCCCCGTTAAGGCCCCGTTCACATTGAGCGATTTATCGCGCAATTTTTGTAGCGATATCGCTCATATTTCCGCACTATATCGCTCTATGTAGCTTCACCAATACAATTCAATGTAGCTGTTCACATCATGTCGCTCAATATCGCTCAATATCGCTAGTAACTCGTCGCTGGTAGCTTGTCGCTTCTACATGACCCTTTTTTAGAGCGATTTTGAGCGATATTGCTCCTGATTGCATACAGCCCAATAGGAAGATGTCGCTCAATGTCGCTCAAAGTCACGCGATTTGCATGTCGCTCAGTGTGAATGGGGTCTTAATGTCTACCAGAACAGTTACTTTAAGGCATGCCAACTGTCAAGGTTGCCAGTGTGCTTATTCTAGCTCTCAACCGAACCTTCAAGCCCTTACATGGCTGGTATCCTAGCTGATCACATGTGCAGCACCATGGCAACTGTAATCCACGTAGAGGCTAAGATGGCAGTTTGGCAGTGACTGGAGAGTTCAGTTAACAGGTTTTCATGACACTCAGGGAATGATGTGTTGATATATAAGTAAGGGGCTAGGTTTTCGATATGGATACCAGCTGCAGCAATTGCAATTGTGTTACAATCTTTCTGTTGTAAATGTATTTTACTTGCATTAGAGAAAATTGAGTAGTAGAATGAACTACTATTTTTGAGTGGATTGGCTATTTAAACTATGTCTGCGCCTATATTCAGATTGTTTTGTATCATTTGTAAATACTGTATGATTATCTGCTTTAAAAAATGTAAGTAACACTGCACTGCAATTTTTGTGAAAAGTTTTTCTTCCTGAAAAGTTTTTACTGATTGTGACAGGTACCTGGTGGGTATGCACAAATATAGTTTTTTGGTTTTGCATCACGTAGGAACTCTGAGAAATGGACAGTTAACGGTTTAAAGGCAATAATGTATTTAATTGTATTTGTTTCTATTACGCTATTAAGTTCAACATAATTAAAGATGTTTTGCTCCTGATTTTCATTTGTATTCAATGTCCGGTGCATCACGTTGCAGTATCCAACAGTAGTCGGCAAGCATTGACGGATTCCATTTGCCCTGTTATTATTTTTCCATTGTAGCAATGTCTTGGTGAAAACTTTCATATCTCTACAGATATTCTAGTTGTACTTGCTGTACTGGATGTGCTTCAGCAACATTTCCATGTTCTCATAGGTTTCTTTCATGTGTGCTGCATAGCCAACAGGTATTGAAGGGTGAACGTTGTCATTGTGTAATAGAGAGTTGCCACTCTTGCGGGTCATGGTCACAACCCAAAGCAGAGAACAATCCTTTGATGTCAACACAGAAACAGAGACTGTCAACTTGTGCAAAGAATTTGGTTATATCATCTTGGCGGCTTCGAAAACCAGACATTTGCGGACCTGGTGACAGCAAACACCATTCCTGCAGTCTTGAGCCTAGCAATTCGGCTTTTGCTTTTGACAGACCCAAATCTCTGACCAGGTCGTTTAATTCTGACTGTTGTGAGATGTGGATCGCATGAGTAGCACCGTTCACAATCCAGATCAATGTCACTGCCAGTTCCCTGCATTGCAGTTTGTTCATCTGGTTCGTCTAAGGTCCATTCCTCTGGTGGTTTTGGAATTGGAAGACTGTTGTCATGTGGCACGGGTCTCATTGCTGGAGGCAGATTAGGGTATTTAATTGACTTCTTGTTTTTGGCAGAGAAACCAGACACATTTGTCAAGCAGAAGTAACAGTCCATCACATGGTCTTTCTGTTCTTGCCATATCATCGGGACAGCAAACGGCATTGTTTTTCGAGTGCCTTTGAGCCAAGCTCTCAGACAGACAGCACATGTCGCACAACAAATGTGAGGCCCCCATTCCTTGTCTTGATCACCAATTGTACAGCCGAAGTACAGATGATATGCTTTCTTCACGAGCAGTCATTGAGCGTCTCTGATGAACAAGCGTATACTCGCCACAAATATAGCAGAATGTATTGCGGCTGTTACGACATTGACAAGACATATCAACCGTCACCAATCGCACCAAACGTCTAGAACATCTAACTTACATGTTACAGTGCTACTGAGGCAATGTTATATTCTGAAACAATACGTACACACTATGATGTCTATATTAATCCAATGAGCAGCATTTGTGTATGCAAGCCACTTTTATAGCCTGCTGAGACAGTGTCAAGCTGGCTCCAGCCTGCCCAGGCTGCATACTTCCACAGAACAGCTTCCAACTTGGCCTGATTTCATGCCTGGACATGCCCAGACTGCACAAAACATTGTTCATAGGGCTCTTACAGAAACGAAAATTTTTAGACAACAAATATAAGAAAAAAACATGACAAAGCTGAAGATTTCAATGGAACGGTATGTGATGATGTGCAAATTTGGATGTGATTTTTGTGATCAGCAGCCAAACATCTATAAGGAACATCCAACAGTGTTCAAGGAGCAAAAACTTTGTTGTGTAGTGTAACTGATGTTGCTTTTTTTTTGTTGTTTTTACTAACGTTTGATATATGTAATATTTAAATGAAGGCTTCTGCTGTCAATGTCTTAAAGCCCTGAAGACACCTTATGTCAAAGTATTTAATAGAGAGGAATTGTGTGAAAATGCCAGAAAAAAAGACATTCTAAAATTTCTCTGCAGAGTGTTCTGGCAGTATATTTCAGAGCTGTGTCACGTCTGTGAAAGACACGAAAGAAAATAAAAGTGCTATCTGGAAATCCACTGCACACACAACAGATGCAACTTTTCTCTGTTGAATTTCAACAACCATATGTCCTGTATTTGTTGGGTTATGGAGGTTTGGCTACAACAGCATGACTAACATATTTCTCTAGGTAGGCTTAGAGTAGTAGTAGGCAAGAAATGAGGTATACAGGCAATATGCTTACTCATACTATCGGAGAGCTTTGCCTTTTATAATGACTATTATGTGAAATCAATACATGCTCATATCATTCTTTTTTTAATGTTTTTAAATTTCTTTAATGATGTGGAATTTTAGGGTTTCATTTAAAGGATATCTAAACCCTGAACTAAAAATGCAAACAATGTTATCTTCCCTGTGTGAACTACTGTCTTCCCTGCACTCCCCACCCCACTGTTTTGAAGATAAGGAGAGGAAGACATGTTTGAAGTTAGGCTTGGATCCCTCATAGATCATATGATCCTTCATAGATCCCTCCATAGATACAGATGCAGCTTCCTTCATGCCTTACCTGCATTTAGGGACATGTAAGATGCAATATATGTCCCTTGGTCATATATAATATATATCCCTTGGTCAACTAATAACCTCACATGGCTTCCAATACCATCTCTATGCCGATGACACTCCAATTTATCTTTCCACTCCACATCTCTCCCCCTCTGTGTCCTCTCGTGTCACTAATCTACTAACTGACATATCCGTCTGGATGTCACAACATTTCTTAAAACTCAATCTTTCAAAAATTGAGCTTGATATTTCCTCCTACCCGTGCACGTTCCCCCAACATTTCAGTTGAGATTGATAACACGACTATCCACCCCTCCTCCAATGCCAAGGTCCTAGGTGTCATCCTTGACTCGGACCTCACCTTTCTTCCCCACATCCAATCACTATCCAAATCCTACCGCCTTCACCTTCGTAACATCTCCAAAATACGCCCCCTCCCTCGCCAAAGAAACCGCAAAATTACTCATCCACTCCCTTGTTATCTCTCGTCTTGACTATTGTAACTCCCTCCTCATTGGCCTTCCACTACACAGGATATCCCCACTTCAGTCTATCATGAATGCAGCTGCCAGACTCATCCACTTGACCAACCGCTCAGTGTCTGCAACCCCCCTCTGCCAATCCCTGCACTGGCTTCCACTCGCCCATAGGATAAAATTCAAAATATTAACAGTCACTTATAAAGCCATCCACAACTCTGCCCCCGGATATATCTCAGACCTTGTCTCAAAATATCACCCTAACCGTCCACTCCGCTCTTCCCTAGACCTCCTGCTTTCCAGCTTCCTAGTCAACTCCTCCCATACTCGCCTCCAGGACTTCTCTAGAGTCTCTCCCATCCTCTGGAACTCTTTACCCCAACCTGTCAGTCTATCTCCCACCCTGACTGTCTTTAGGCGTTCCCTGAAGACTCTTCTCTTCAGGGAAGCCTATCCCACCTCAACCTAACCACTGAACCATCACATTCTCAAACAATTCATCCCCACACAGCTACCTCCTCATGTATCATTTCCCCCTCCTCTTTCAGATTGTAAGCCCTCAGGGGCAGGGCCCTCCTTACCATCCTGTCTTGAATTGTATTGTAATTGTACTGTCTTCCTTACATTGTAAAGCGCTGCGCAAACTGTTGGCGCTATATAAATACTATGTCATAAATGTATTTTTTTGATTTGGGGTTTAGATATGCCTATCGCTGTTAGGATGAGCAAATTTTTTTCTTGGCAGTCAGACCACTTCAACCCTGCTCTCTGCATGGTTTGAGTTTTCAGTTTTCTGAAGATGAAAACATAAAGTCAGATCTCCATATACCATTAAGGTTGGAGATGAATATGAATGGAAAAAATAGTAAATTATTAGTGGGAATATGCTACAGGCCCCCAAACATGAGGGAGGAGGAGACTCAACTACTGACAGAAAAAGCAGGAAGGCAAGGC